AAAATCGCACTGGCTTCCCAAACAGCACCGGCTTTGGCGAGAGCTCTTGGAGGAAGAACGAGGCGCCGCTGGGAAGACTCGGCCGTTCCTGACTCTACCGTATGTCCCCTTCCCTGGAAGATACGTTTGATCATGCATGATTGATTGATTGCCATTATGGTTCATCTCCTACGGCCACATAGATATCTGTTCACCACAACAAAATTGTTTGGGAGTTGCAGTGCAAGAAAATGACTGGCTGTAGAAGTGTCAGAACTAAAGGTAAAGGCAAGCAGACTGGTCTGGTCAGGGAGTATGGAAACCTCTTATGGACTTTTTGCTAAAAGAAGGAAAAGGTGGAATGATGATTTATGGATGTAATGACTGAAAGATGAGAAATAAATGGTTGAAGGGATTTCTGGAAAAATTAAGCAGGAGGGGAGATAATAGATTTGTTAATATCTGTTGGAGAGAAGGTCGGAAGCTATTTTGTAACTTTAGGGTTTTTTTTTTCTTTTCTTCACCTTTTTTTCTTCTCTAGATTTATCTTTTACTTTATGTAACATCCTCCCTTTCTCTCTCTCAATACCTACATAAATAAATAAAAAATGACTGGGTCAAAGTCCCCCAGGAAGTTACCACAGATGCTGGTGGACCACAATCTGAATCCACCCCATTCACCCCCAAAGGCTGCACTAGGGGGCATCTCACACTGCTGCGTCTTGATCTCAGAGACTTTTCCTTTTTATTTTCCCTGCCAGAGCTTTATCCTTCCAGTTCTCTGCAGTCTTTTAGTCAGCACAACTCTGGGCAGCCTTGGGATAACTCCTGCTGGAGCCCAGATGCTGAATTTATTAAATGCTTCTATGTTCCTCACCGATTCTTTCCCTCACCTCACTCTTTGGCCTTGTTAGCCTATTTGGACTCTTGTCTCTTCAAGACAGGCCAGTTCAAGGGCCAGACACAAAAACTGCTAGAACTCAACTCTATTATTACAGGGCATGATACCAGAATCTTGAAAGCCTGAAAGAATCTCTTTTTCCCTGCCTCTTATACCAAAAAGAGTCAAGGCAGGCCAATCTTCAGTTTCTTCCTCACTGCCTCCTGTCTTCCTGGGCTAAGCTGATGTTTTTGTAACAGCTGCCACACACTTTCTTCAAAGCCACCCCATGCAACCCTTCTTTCCCAGTACCTTTGTCCACTTCCTGCAGCTTAATGGGCCACTGGCCCAAGACCTCCATGTTCAGGGCAGGGAGGGAGGCATGGCAGAATTTATACCCAGCCCTTTCTCCTTGCAGCTTCTTTTCTTCACAGTGTATTTCCTTGGAACAGAAAAAGTATTTGGGGGAGAGAGAACTGGAGTTTGTCTTCAGTTTCCAAACACAGAATGAAACTTTTTGCCCATCTCTGATCCCAGTATCATAGGTTGACCAGTTTCACCCAACAACTAGTACTAACATGCCTTTGGCTAGGCTGGGCTCAGTGCTTTGTAAAATCACTGCTTTGTGAACATTATTACATTTGAACCCAGAAAGAAAACTGGCACACAAAACAAACAACACTTGGGCAATAAACCAAAAGTGATGGACCCTGTTCGATGTTGGGCAAGTGACTGCATCCATATCCAGATGGTCAGGAGATAACCCTTGTAACAGTGCCATCAAAACTAAACTGGGGTTCGCCTGGTTAAATCCTTAGCTGGGAGTGAACATCTGCACCTCCATAACTACAAGACAGGAGTACAGCAAAAGTAAAAAAAAAAAAAATTCTTAATTTATTTTCCCGTTAGGAGCTTAAGGCAATGCTTATTTCCAACTTTCTCTCCCCAAAAACAACCCTGTGGGATAGGTTGGCCTCAGTGACTGATCCAAAGTGACCCCATGAATAGGATCCAACTGAATGAGAAGATTTGAGGTTTAAGGCACAGTTAAACTGTCCTTGATTCAATTTTAGAGGAAAGCTGCATGCAAACTTGCATCTTCAACTTTCACAGTTGCCGATTGGAACATCTTCTTCAAGGACCGACCCAGAATTAGAGCTATGGGGTTGTCTTTTACTTACCTCTTAGCATTCTATAACCACGTTAGTTCATTCCAGTTCCAGATTTCCTGACACTTTCTCCAGCGTTGTTTGTATTCTATGGTGAACTGTCCTGTTTTCAGATTATCATCAAACTTCTTAGTATGCACACATCACCTTCCTTTGTCACCCTCCTTCCTTTTCCTACTTCAAGAAGTAGGAAAAGTGTTTTCAGTAAATTCTTTTATGTAATCCTATTGGTTCCTTTTCCCAAACTACAACCCCTTCCATCTCTCAAACCAGTTTCCCAGCACCTTCCATGCATTTTATTTGTTGAAAGCAACAAGTCATGTGATTGCTCAAACACGATCAGTCTTTGCAAGATGTGGGGATCATTTCACTTTGCTGCCTCTCTTGCCACTCTCCTCTGTGGTCTGGAGATCAGGAAGGACAAGGCAGTTCACAACTGGTTAAATTGTTCAAAAGAAACACAGAGCCATGGCTTAGATCAGACTCCATTTTACCAATGGTTATGTGATTTGCTTTGGTACAAGTTAATTGATGTGAACAGATGATTGTTTTGAGTGAAGGTCTTCCTAAATTCCGTGTATTGGTATGGATTCTCTCTCATATGGTTCCTTTTTGTGGAATTATGGGTACTGCTGATGCTGAAGCAAGGACGCTTTTATGAGAAGTTGACTGCTATGTTTGAAGCTCTTTCCACACTCCATATATTCATATGCATTCTCCCCATGTGGATCCTTTTATGGGAAGTAAAGGAACTGCAAACACTGAAGCTCTTTTCATACTTCATGCATTTATATGGCTTCTCCCCTTTATGCCTCCTTTTATGAAGAATAAAGGACATTCTCTGGCTGAAGCTCCTCCATGTGTTTGCATGATTTCTTCTTCAGTTGTCCACTTTATGGCTTGGGTTATTAAACGTTTTTTCTAGGATGCTTTTTTGTATGAATTCTTTGGATTGAGTAAGATTTGTACTCAAACACTCCATGTGTTTATATGGTTTCTCCCTTGGGGATTCTTTTATGAGAAATTAGGTCACAACTCTGACTAAAGCTCTTTCCACACTCCATATATTTGTATGTTTTCCCCCCCATATGGATTTTTTTGTGGGAAGCAAGGAAACTGCTCAGCCTGAAGTTCTTTCCACACTCCAGACAAATATAGGGTTTTTCTCCTGTGTGAAGCCTTTTATGGGAAGTTAGGTTACTACTCTGACTGAAGCTCTTTCCACACTCTGTGCATGAGTATGGTTTCTCCCCTGTGTGGATCCTTTTATGAGACGTCAACTGACTGCTCAATCTGAAGGTCTTTCCACACTCCACACATTTGTATGGTTTCTCCCCTGTATGGATCCTTTTATGAGAAGTAAGTTTACTGCTTTGTTTGAAGCTCTTTCCGCACTCTATACATGTATATGGTTTCTCCCCTGTATGGATCCTTTTATGTAAAGTAAGGGAACTGCTCTTGCTGAAACTCTTTCCACACTCCATACAAACATATGGTTTCTCTCCTGTGTGGAGCCTTTTGTGTGAAGTAAGGTGACAATTCTGGCTGAAGGTTTTTCCACACTCCATACATGTATATGATTTTCCCCCTGAATGGATCCTTTTATGCAAAGTAAGTTCACTGCTCCATCTTAAGCTCTTTCCGCACTCCATACATTTATATGGTTTCTCCCCTGTGTGACTCCTTTTATGTGAAGTAAGCTGACTGCTCAACCTGAAGCTCTTTCTACACTCCATGCATTTATAGGGTTTCTCCCCTGTGTGCAGCCTTTTGTGGGAAGTCAGGGAACTGCTGTCACTGAAACTCTTTCCACATTCCATACATCTATATGGTTTTTCGCCTGAATGGATCCTTTTATGAGAAGTCAGGTTACTGCTCCGGTTGAAGCTCTTTCCACACTCTGTGCATTTATAGGGTTTTTCCCCTGAATGAATCCTTTCATGGGATGTTAGGTTACTGCGGTTGCTGAAGTACTTTCCACACTGCATGCATTCATAGGGCTTTTCCCTTGTGTGGATTTGCTGACATAAAGTAAGAGGAAAGGTTTGGCTGAAAAATGTTCCGTGCTTTCTCCATTCATACTGATTGTTTCCTATCTCGGTTCCATACTGGTTACACAATTCTGAGTTATCTGTCAGTGTTGTCACCTGTAGAAGGCAATTCCCTATTCTGTTTTCCAAGTGATCCTCTTGGGTCAGGAACGTATGGATTTCACCATGCTGAGAAGCGCACAATTTTCCCCCCAGATATTTAGAGTGGTTTTCCTCCGGTGTTTCTGATCTCCAGGGATTTTCAGCTGTCTCTTTTCCCACTTCATGTTCCTGATCATTCTCATTTTCCTGCTTAAATCCTTTTACAGAGAGAAAGAAAAAAAGAAAGTATAAATCTTTTTAATGTTTATAACCTAAGGAAAGCAACAAGGATACATTCCTATCAATATGGTTGTCAATTCTAATGGGAATTTATCATAATTTCCAAGATTCTCTGCTTCCTCTCTGCATGCTTTGTCATAACCTACATTACATTTTGATGATGCTAAAGTCTCACAAGTGATTTCTTTGCTTGGCCATTTCCTGATGATCTCATGAAACAAAGATTCATCCTTTTTTTTTTCCTTAAGAAATGAAGACTAATACAAAATAATGAAACAGGAAGAAAAAGAAAACAATTCAAATGAAAATCAAATACACTGAGAAGCTTTGAGTGCTGCCTGCAGATGTTAGGATATTGGAGTTTGACCAGCTGCAAATGAACAGACAACTGCACTTTTTGGCATGGGGGATTGTGATGTTTCCATTAGCCTGGTCTGATTTGTAGACTGGGCAAACAAGACTTTTTCTGACCATTTTGACTACCTTTTCACAGTGGAACAGTCAGGACCTCACAGCCATAACACACGTATGTTGGATGTGGATTTATGTGGAAAATGTTCATCAACAGGATCATACGTCCTTCAATATCTGAAGAAGAGCCCAGGGGATAGGACGAAGGTTTACAATTTACATTTATAAATACCATAACCTTGCTTAACATCAGGAAAGAGAGAAATAACCCAATGGGGAGGAGTGAAAATAAATCTCCTCCAACAACAGGTTTAATATTTAAAAAACAGTACATCCCAGTGTGTGTGTGTGTATGGATTTCAAGGGGTGTGTGAGCTTGGTGGGAAAAAAATCACAACTTTATTTTCACCAACCTCTAACTAAAATTTAGATTTTCATTCAATAATGAATGTAGGTGATAAGGTAATTTAGGGCCTCTAGACTCCGAAAATGTTTGTTAACTTGCTTTACTGGATTAATATTTTTATTTTTTAATATATTGATATCTACATTTGAGCCTAACTGGTTTCCTTTGTAATACAATCTATATCTATGTATTTTATTTTATGCATTTAAATATATTTTTTAAAGATAGGGTCTGTAGTTTTCACCAGACTGTTAAAGGAGTCCATGCAACAAGAAGCTTAAGAACCACTGGTATATCCAGTTGCAACAAAGGGGAAAGGTTTAAACTTTAAAACGTTTTTTTTAAAAGTTTAACTGCGTTAATCAATTGTATTGATTTCAGTTGATCACCACTACCTGCATCTAGATTCAGCTCAGAATTTCATTTCTTTAAAAAATGAAGCTTCTTTCAAAAACCTCAGATATGATGGAAATCTTTATTTTTTAAAACTGTACAGCATTATACCACTGTATTAACGTATAGAGCTTCTCTTTCTCTTCGAAAAGCCAATAAATTGTTTGGTGTTTTTTCTATACAATTTTAAAATTTTATATAGAATTAAGTAATTCCCAACAGAATAAGCAATCCTCTTCAAAACTTTCCTGCACATTAAGAGCATGACTGACTTAGCATGATTTTTTTTTTCCTTTGGAGGATACAAAAGGGCCCCCTAAGGTCGTGGAGTAACCCCCTGCTCTGTGCAGGAATCCAGATTAAAACATGCAACAGACAGCTATGTAGCTTCCACCTGAATGCACCCAGAGAATGGGAGCCCACTGCTCTCTGAGTCCTTGGTTCCACTGTCGAACTCCTCTTACTATTGGATCTTTATTTTCCTAGCATGCAACTGGAATTCATATTCCTGTAATTTAAATTTGGGCAATAGAGAACAGACTTGACCTTGCCTGCATAAGATCCTTTTGGGTACGAGCAGTTTAACCAAGGAAACTGACCCAGAGAGTGATGGACTTTCTTAGATGTGTTCAACTGGAGGCTGGACAGGATGCTTCAATCTGGATTCCTCAAGTGAGCAGAAGACCGTACTTAGTAGCCTTCAAGGCCCTTTCTACCTTTAGGACGCCATTAGATTGAACTGGTGAAGAGCAGTATGGTTTGTCAATTGTTTTTCTGAAGGAAGGAGCAACTGCCTTGAAGAATCTCCATTCAAGGGGTCCTAAGGTAGGGGGAGCTTCACTCTTTTATCACTCCTCACATCCAGCAGCAGCCAGAAGGAAAAAGTAGGCATTGTTCTCAAAGTTAAGAGTTGCCCTCCATACTGTTCTGATGACCACTGCCCAGGCAGTAGCATGGAATATTTGTCAACCAGCTTCCAATTCAGAACAGCCCCAAAGAGGGCCACCTCCCTAGCGATGGGATTACCTTGTTTCCTTCCCTGTAGCAATATTCTGCCATACATCAGGAGGAGTCCAAGGTAGATGATTTCCCAGCAGAACTGACATAGGATCAGGGGCATGTGGATCCAAGACAAGCAGAGGGCAGCCACTACCAATTTCAGGGACAGACAGTCTTTGGGTGGCCAAGGACCAAGAGTTAAGAATTGGGAAGAATAATGTCAGATGGAGGAAGGGCTAGGGTTTGGGGGCATCTTCTGGTTTTACCTATCAAGGTCAGAGAGGATCTTTGAGAGCTCCTGAAAGGGGACTTGGGGGGCCCAGACACTTCTGAGACCAGAAACTCCCCTTCCCTCTTTTCAGCCAATGATCAATCTTTTCATGTTGAAGTAACACAACCTGAAAAATTCACCAAGGGGACTCTCAAGGAATGATCCTACCACATATCTCAGCAGGTAAATGCTGTTCTCTCACCTTTCCTGGATCCCCAGAAGAACAAATCTCCACCTTCTTCCTGCCAGGAGTCAGGCTCTGGTTTGGCTAATTCTTGGAAGAAACAAACAGGCTGATTACTTCACAGTACAGAAAGCCTTTCATAGCTATTTGAATTCAGAGCAAGGACCGACCCTTACTGAGAGAAGCCACATTCCTAGAATTCTCCAGCATGACTTCTCTGTGCAGGGCTTTTTGATCAGAACTGAGCAGAGCCCACTCTTCCTCAGAGAAATACACAGCCACCTCCTTGAAGGACATCGGAGCCTGAAAGATGGACAACATTCCTGATTAACTGGGAAACTCAAGAAAGTTTTGAAGGCTCTGTTCCTTGACTTATACAAAAGTAGATATCTAGATATCTGTATATAAATATATGCAAACACTTCATGCTATACTCCTTTAGCATTAAGCAAAGCACAAAAAGGGCGCCATTGATATCAACCTCCACTGTTCATCATGGCTTAAGTCAATTTAAGCTTTCACGTAACATTCTTTAGTAAGACAGAAAAGATATAAACTAGGTTACCAGCCTTAGTTATAACTGTGCCACATACAGCATTCCCTTCTAATAGCAAGACATTTCCAGCCAATTTTGGCCAATCACCTTAGTCCATTTTACCTCATGCATGCTCACTCAAGTCTAAGCAAGTCAACTACTGCAGAGACCTTCCTGCAAATCAACATACTGTGTAACTCACATCCCATGAACATGGGATGTCCACGCAATGCAACGACACGCACTCAATGTATGTGGTTGTATCTGCAAGACGGCCATTTTCTTTTTAATAACTTTATGGATTCCCCTGGACCTTCAGTGCTAGAAAGCACAGTTATCTTATGAATCACCTGGCTAGGACAGGTAGGAATTCTGTTTGACTCCTAGTGAATGACCTATGATGTCCATCAGAGTTCACTTGTTGGAAAGCTGCCCTCTTTCTTTGGGGCGTAAGGGTTTGCATATAAAATCTACTTTTGTATAACTTAAGGAATTTTGCATGACATCAATACACATGATCTGGAGACCTGATCCTATTTTTCTTTGGATTTCAGGGAACTGGCTCACATTATGAACCTTAGGCTAGCTGTGAGTTAATCAACTGAAGCCCTGTGAGCAAAATAGGGATTCAGCCTCTTTTAGATGGCACTTTCTCAACAAGTGTTGAGTCAAGATACAGTGACTGTCTCTCTGTCTGGGCTTCATAACAAAGCAGATCTAGTTCTGAGATCACCAGGCAATGCCAGAGGTATAAGTAGTAGCATTTGGTTCTGTGTGGCCTTGAGCCTGTTTTTCAGCCTGTTTTAGACTGTCATCTTCTTTAGAAACATACCTTTACAGCCTATGTTGATGAGAATTTTGGATTCAATTGATCTTTGGGATACCTAGCAAGTTGGATCTCAGTTATCTCTGCTTCATTTATGCTCATAATCCACCTGCCCCTTAACTGGTGGGAGGTCTGATGCAGTCACACATCACCTATATATCCTATTTCAGTTGCTGCAATGGGATTATTATTATTTCTTGTGCTCTTTACTGAACTAGAGGTCTCCAAATGTTGACAGCACATATTACTTGCCGACCCTTCTCCTACCTGAGCTGCAAGTGAAGTTGCTGTTTCTTTTCCACCAGAAAAGGGAGATGTTTCAAGAAGTACCACCAACATCGTATTCTCCCCTGTGCGGAAGACAAAGGGGATGGAAACAGAACTTTTAAAAATGTTAATGATTTTTAGGGAAACTCTCTATAAAAACTCATCCAGATTCAAACTAATATAATAAACTGTATATATTTATTTTTGTATTGTTTTTAATTGTTTTTATTGCTTTAGAATTGCTCGCTGCCCAGAGTCCCTTGGTTGGGATGGGTAGCTACAGAATTTACATAAATAATATCATAAAACCAGATGATGAACATGAAAGATAAAGTCAGAGAGCTGGAATTCACTGGAACAGAAGACAGAATCCTTCCTTACCTGGTGAGATGATGGGAGTGGGATTTTCCTTGGAAATCTCTCCCAAAAGTGTCCCCTGAGAAGGATCTGATGGATCTCCCTTTGGCTTGGGACTTCGGGGATCCACTTGGATGGAACTTCCCTACACGTAAACACCAGTGAAGAAGAAAGAATTAGGAGGCCAGAACATAGAGAGGGAGCATTTTTCTACCAGCCACAATCCATCCCAACATCCATGAGTGGGGGCGAAATAAATTTTGGACTTCCTCCTTGTCCTGGGAAATGTCTGGAAGAGGCAATGAAACGTCCCCAAATTAAGGTATCAAGCAAATCCTGGTAGGGAGGCATTTGGAGAAATCAGAAATAATGTTTCTCTCACCTGCTTCTTTTTGTCCTCTGCCTGGCTTAGGAGGAAGCCTTCGGCTAGGGCCACTGCCTGGGAACTGGTTTCCACTCCACATTCCCTCACCCAGTTCGCCATCTCCAGGGGAAGGACAGCCAGAAAATGCTCCAGGACCACCAAGTCCAGCATCTGAGCCTTTGTGTTCCTTTCTGGTTTCAGCCATTGAAGGCAAAGGCGGTGGAGACAGCTGCAAATCTCTCGGGGTCCTTGGGTCTCCTGGTAGAGGAATCCCCTGAACTGCTGGTGCCGGACCTTCCGAGTGAGGGTTCCTTCTTCCAGGACCTTCTGCCTGGACTTCTGGGTAAACTCCCCCTGGCTCTCAACCTGAGCAGCATGAAGGCCTTTCCCTGCAGGGTCATTTGCTTCCATCTTCTCTCCAAGTTCCCCCAGAGGTCCAGACGCTTTGAAGGGCTCCCGTGAATCTCCAGAGCTGTCTTCTCTGTAAAAGAGTTGGTGAGTCTCCATCATGGCTCTTTTCAGAGAGGACAAAGCTCCCTCTTTGCCTTCTCCTACAAGGAAAACCTCAAGGTCAGCCTGTTGTTCCTCCCTGTTTTGCAGCCCCCTTGCAACTTGGCAGATGGGGGGTCCCCAAGGGGGCTCCAGTTGGGTCAGGAGGGAGACCACCAGGCCCCTTCCAGCTCCCCCAAGGTTTCCTTGCTCCCCGGAAGAGATTCCAGGAAAGAAGCGTCTCTCCTGCAGCCTCCCCGTCCCACCAGGGTCCCCCGGCCCCCCAAAGTGCAGCTGATGACCCAAGCTACAGCCCACCAAAGCTTTTCCCTTCGAATAAACCTTGTTGGTCAGAAAAGGTGAGACCACAACCCTGATCTTTTGCCAGGCCCCCAAGCAAGGGAGGGCTCTTCCAGAGCAGCCCCTCCCCTCCGGGGACTGCAAGCAGTGAGTCCCTGCAAGGAGGGGTTTCCCTTACAAGGGGGTGGGGAATCCTGGTACAGTATGTTTACAGACAGACCTCTATCCATACATTCAGGCTGCTCGGGATGAGCAATGCGATGCACGGCGCAGATGCTGCTGTCCGTCTCCTCGCTCTTCCAAAAGATCCGCACTGGCACCCCCCGCCCCCCCGCAGCCCCACTTCAGAGTTAAGGGGAGAGAGTGCCGCTTCCTAGAGTGGCAGAACTCCGGGCAAGGATGCCCACTTCCTCCCCAAAGAATTCCAGCCTCCCTCCGACTCCGCGGCTGCAATACCGGGAGAGGGAGGGGGCGGGGCAATCATCGCGCGCATGCTCGGTTGCCGTCCGGAGCTGGAGGCGGCCGGGTATGCGATTCTTTGGGGGAGGGCGCCCCCTCTCGGCTGCGTCCTGCAGCGCCCGTGCCGAAAAACC